GTTTTAATGTAGCCTATCAATGTCTAATAAATTCCCCGTTCATAACATCTAGACACTCTGCCTTCTGCTAACCACGGAGAGCTGAACAATAGATAACCAGACTGATAAGGAAATCCACTTAGTTTTGGTGCAAAATGGTTGCGTAACAGAAGCTCCTAGAAGTTTGAAAACCAAAGTGAAAGATGCTGTTAAAAACTATTCCCAAAACCTCTGACGACGATGAAAAGTTATGAAAACAAAGACGTCCAAATTATTTCTGTATTTTTAATAAGCAATCCAATCTTAAAGAATCAATGACTGCTCCAGAAGAGCGAAGTACTCACTTAGTACTCACTTAGTACTCACTTGGCTATGAACATTTTTCACAAAAACTTAAAATTGTGAAAAAGGAATTAACCTTTAGGGTCATAATGATGACATTTTTATGGCAAATCTAACACGTTCGTTGTCTCAGGTGAACAAAAATAAAAAAACATTCTAAAATCCGAATATTGGTAAGAAAAACAAACAATGTTTAAACTTCAACTTCCTGAGTGGAAGTGCCCTGAAACATTGGTGTTTTTTTGTTGTTGTTTTTTACAAAATACCACTTCCTTTTTGTCAATTTCCATTATGACAAACACATTCCAATGTAAGGAAAGAGAGCAAACTTTCAATTAGCATTCCTGTTGGTTGCTTTTGTGACCACATTACGCTATAAATGCATAATTGTAGTAAGCACGATTGACGTATTACATTTCGAAGGAAATGTTATGTGTTCTCCTGCATAAGAAAATACATCACTACTCTGAAGGAAATGTATCACAGTTCTACGCAATTACAAAACCACCTCAGCATGGTGATCACTACGTAATGGTGTCAGATTTAGATGCTGTGGATTTGACTGATGAGATAACTCACTTCAAGCATTGTATTTTTTATTTATTTATTATTTTTTTTGCAAGTCAGACATTTCCTCCTAAAAGATCCATCTGGGTTTATGTTGTAGTCCTGAATGACCAGCTGCTTTAAGTGGCATTAATTAAACAACCCATAAGAAGCTGTAGTTCCTGTTTGCGATTAGCTTCCTGGTAATCCCTGCTGCCTCAGACTGATGGGGGGATTTGTCCAGCCCTTTACTATGTATTAAACCTCTCCACGCTCTTGTCTGGCAGTAATCTGCTAATCATATCAGTGTTGCCTCACCAGCTTCACAAGATTGACCTGGGGGAACAGGAGTGCTTAAGTTTGTCTGTGTCACTCTTCTTGCTGCCTGCTAGTGGTTAAAATATCAGATCGAAGCTGATAGCATCAGAATGTTTATGCATCACCACAGACTAACCAAGTTTTCGGACTTGCACTGTGAATAGTTTTGCAAATGTATTTATACTTCTTGAACTTTTTTCATGTGTTTGTCTTTGCAAAATTGTGTGTATTGTACGTCATATGATTGCCGGACATAAAGGGGCACGTAAAAGGAACGAACATGAGTCATGATTTTCAAAATCGTTTACTAATAAGAGTCGGGGAAGTGTGGGGTTGATCTGTGTTTAGCTTCTCTGACTCAAATGTTTTGAGGAATGTCACCATTTTTACACATACAGAAAATATAGAGTAGTAAAGTGCTATATATAGTACAATATTTTGTTGCGAAATAACTCAGATTCATTCAATTTGGAGCGAGAGTCACATAGAGCACAGGGTTCTATGTTTTCAAGTTCTCAGTTGGATGTTGGCCTGGACTTTGACTGGACCATTCTAACTCATAAATGTGCTTTGATCCACCCCTATCTGAAATATTTTGCAGCTTCTAATAGTTTTTCTCCAAACATTTTCCTTCCCTGTCCCTTAAAGAAAGGCATTTTCACAGCATGATGTCTCTGCCACCCTGTTTCACTTTGGGGACGTTATATTTTCTATCACAGCTAGTGCTTTGCAACTAGCCCAAAAGGTTTGTTTTGATCTTATCTGATCACATCACTTTCTTACACACATTTGCTTTTTTTCCCCCCGCATGGCTTTATAGCAAACCTTAAAAAGGACTTTTTCAGGTTTGGTAGATTGAAAAGAACTGTTTGAGATGTTCAAACAGTTCTGTGATGTCAAAGAATGTGAAAAAATGCTACATTTTAATCATTTTTTGTCTGTAAAATCTTGAAAATTATCTGACTGCAGGCGTCCCATTCACGTGTTTCAAAGCAATTTTGCAGCAAATGTTTGAAGTTCTCAAACATAATAATATCCTCTTTAACTTTAACCGATGGTTTAACTTCCTCATGTCATGATGTCCAATATTATTTTAAAGATTTTGCTGTTTGATATTATCAACAGGAACATGAAAACTGAAAGGAAATGACTTGACATGAGTGGCATCCAAAACTGAAACTGCCAAATTACCAGAATCTTAAGGTTTTTGATGTTTTTGTAAAAAAACAAAACAAAAAAAAAACATTAAAGATTCTGATCCATTTTTCAAGTCAAATCAGCCAAAGTTATTGCAGAAAGAAATCAGATAAATTTCTTGCATCATCATAGTTTCAAGTAGCTGTAACTACTTTTGAACCTTAAAAGACAGCACACAGTCTGAGCATGGCTTTGCAGAACATGGTGCAGCTTTGAAAACATAGAGCAGCTCCTGCATTGTTTTTACATTTTAACAACCTGACAATACAATGCCAGGTAAAACCACAGCGGTGGCCTGTTTCACTTCATACACTGTCATACTTCCTCTTCCAGAACTTACAAAACCATGTTTAAACCTGTAAGCTTAAAATGATACAATTTGTCTGTGAAATTCACATTTCAGACAACGCGCTCCCTTTAATCCTCGCAGCTCTTTTTTGCTCTTGATGTTTCTGACCAACTAACATCCCTAAGCCCAAAACAAGTTGCGCACATCTTACCCCAAATTATCCCCAGAGAGTTCCAGCAGTTCAATTTCATCTGGACCCACTTCGTCTACTCCCGTGTGCCTCTGAGTCACGCTGCAGCATCCCATGACCAGCAAGGACCTTACGCTCTCAGTCCCGTCTCAGCAAGCCGCCGTCCGCACACTGAGAACCATCTGCAGAGGCACTCAGCCAAGCAGTTTGTGGCAAAATAAAACCAAGCAGATGACATGAAAAGTAGAGGAGTTGGGGGAGGTTGGGTTTAGAAGGGGATATTGTTCTTCAGAAGAGGAGGGGCAGCATAAGGAGACTGAGCACTAGTTTCCCCTTTCTAGCAGCATGCAGAGCATATTTCCGTAAACTCCTTAGAACAAAAGATGTCGCGACGCTTAAAGAGGTACTGAAGATAAAAGGTGGTAAGGTTTTTGGCAAGTCACAGTTCAGAAGTCGTTCCTTCCTGTTGAGAGGCAGCAGAGGACTGAGCTGCTTCCTCACTTTGCTTATTTGACACTGCACATGCCGGGGATCCGCTGCTGTGAGAAATGAAAGCTGCTTGTGATGTCGCTCCAAACGAAAGACAGAAAAGCTCTTACTCCTCTTCTTGTTGACAACATGAGTTCATTGATGCCTTTACCGAGAAGCAGGTGGATGATGAAGCAAACTTCCTGTTGGGAAAGATGTGCGGTCACGCTCACCCCATGTTTGCTGACTTCCACCCTGAATGTGGCTTATCAAGTGAGATAATTGCGAGTTATGACACAGCAAGGTTAAGAGCTACAATCAAAACAAGCTGCAACAGCTGTGAGGCCGGTGGCAGTCCTCCTGGTTGGAGGACGATGAGAGGGATTGTATACAGTTTGTGGAAGAACACAAATGTTGTCTCAACCTCTGTTGGAAATTAAGTCACCTGACAAAATGTATGTTTCCCCATAAACAAATCAAACAAAAACTATTTGCATTGGGAGGTTTCACAATTAAACAGAAGATGCCATTTTCAATAACTACTGCAGTTTCACAAATAATACATTCCTCCATCAGAATAGCATCTTTCATACCTAGTACAGGACCCTTTTGGTTATCGACTGCTCCATACATGATTCATAGCTTTCCTGGAGAATCTTAACCTACTCCTCATAGTCTCCACTTCTTTCATATTCTTAATTCAGGTGACCATTAGGGTCACTTTATTTTCCTTGGCTTCTTCTGAAACCAAGTCTTGACTGATGTTTTGGATTCTTCTGTTTAAAGCTCCTTTCATCCCCAAACTTGAGCTTCCTCATTGGTAGTACCACATTTTCCCTAAAGACTGTCTGGTACTTGACTGAATCCATCTGACAATCCACGTACTGCAGTTTGCCAGTACCAGAGGAAGCAGAGCAACCCCGGAGCATCACTGAGTCGATGCAATGTTTCAGCGTAACAAGCCGTACCCCTCATCTACAGATCTGAAAAGATCCGGTTTTAATTCATCGCTCCACAGAACAGAACACCCAAAACCCTTTGGTATTGTTTTTTGGTCAGTGTTGGTATCCATCTTGAAGTTCAGGCAAGAAGCCCTTCAGTGTTTATTATGTGGTAACTAAAACCAACATGGTTGCTGCCACCAAGTCTTGCTACACGTCTTTGGCGGTCAGCAAGGGGTTTTGGTCAACCGCCTCCTCGACGACAGTCATTAATAGCTTCCTCTTTTAGCAATGCCTAAGTGGTGAAGGCACCTTCATTTTAAACTTGTGAAGTATATTTCCAGCTGCATCTCTTGATACATTCAGAGCTTTTTCCATCTTTTTTATTATCTGGCCTTTTAGTGTAAAATAGTGAGTTCTTCTCTGACTGTTCGGACAATTCTCCTGACAGCCATATTTCTACGACATCTAAAACTGTAGTCCAGGTACTTACAGTTTTCTATCTCAAACACACCTCATGGAACTAATGAAACCCTTGGCTGATTGCATCAGGTTTACCTAAGACACCACTGGGTTTAGTAATATTACACTGCAAAGTCAAATTTCTTTTAAGTCATGTTTGATACATACATTTTTATAACAACTGAATGTGGCATAGTTTCTTGACTGCTATAAAATGGCACTATGTGCCTTCCTGTGCAGAGGAAAACAATAAGAACAGACAACGTTGTGGAAGACAAAGGCCGCCTTTATTGTCATCCAAAACTTTTCCACCTGCACTGCTCAGAGATCACATTTGTTTCCATCGCTGTTCCTTTTTTCTTCTGTACCCTGATCTGACTGCGTACCGTTTGAGTTTTCATCAGAAGGCCTGCAGACAGAACTGCAGTCACCTGGGTTGCAAACAATGACAGAAACATGGTGATCTTTCACTTCTGCTAAGCCTTCGTTTGCTTCCCATCATCTTCGGCTTTCAAACGACCCTCAACAGAATTGCATTTGCTCAGCTTCAGTCTGACTTGAGGTGCTCTGGTCTTCCTCCTGACAGCCATTGGGCATTCACCTACTGACGCTGCGCTTTGATGAAGAGGTGATGTTTCTGTCTGAGTGACTTCAGTCAGAGGATCCTCCTGTGATGCAACAGTCCCTTTTGTGATCTCTGTCCTGGTCTTGTGCTCTCTGGGCTTCCTGTTGTTTTTAGCTTTCTGGCAGACATCACTGCTGTCGGTCCTCTTGTTGTCGACATGTCCTAAGACACCGCTGTACAGCAGTACAAAGTCCTGTTGACTGACTAAAGGAAGGATTTCCTGCCTGAGACGACACTTGTTGAACAGCTCCAGAGTTAAATCTAGGCAGAAAAAGCGGTAGAGGAAATGTTTAGATCTTTTAGCAAACGTTAAGTGCCAAGAATGAGAAATCCAGCTCATGCATAATGAGTAAATGTGTTTTGAATTAAGCTGTATGAAGAAAGTTGAATGTGAATTTAAAAATCTTTTAAATGATACTGGCTAGTTATTTTGTGGAGGAGTAAAAACGTGAAAATGAGACTTTAGTTAACTGTATCTCATATTGTCAGTCTTAAAAACAACCCTTATCGATTTAAAATAGACCAATAAAAACCGGAAGCAGAAAAGCTTGGATAAAACAAGGTTTCTGTCAGTCTCAAAACTTTTGACAGGTTGAAATGCTAATTTATGGAAACATAATATGAGTAAGCAGTAGGTAGAAATAAAATTGGAAACCGAAGACTGGTTACATTATATCTCAATTGTTAAAAAATGCTGAAGTACAGGGAAATGTTTAGTCAGGAGGAGAGATCCTAATTAACATCCACAATGTAATTTTATAAGCCCTGGAGGCAAAACATGTATTTTGCCAGCATTTCTGCTAAATGTTAAGAATCATTAAAAAAAAAAAAAAAAAAAAAAAAAAAAAAAAAACTAAACCAAAAATTAAAAAATTAGGAAAAATTTTAAAGATTTTTTTTTTTTTTCCTCCCCAC